GTTCAGACTTAGCACATGAGATTTCCTCACAACTCAAATTTTCAATATACAAACCTGTGATGAAAATATCACACTGATTTCTGAAAAACAGTAGAGAATTTAACTTGTACTAATTAGTATGTCCTGAAAGGGGGGTTCGCAGACATTCTGTTCTTAAACTATTAACCCTCTCATTGAGTCCTTAATCTTTAGAATCATGCCATCTTCTGTGCGGTCAGAACCCCAGAGGAAAACAAATTCATGGAGATCCGTAATTCCAGGGCACAATAACCCGAGAAGCTGCATTTCAGATAATTTGAAGCAAGTGTCAAGGACCTCTAGAGTCTGACCCAAGTCCTGGGTGTGAACACTTGGTGGCAAAATAAATGTGGCTATCATCTTCAAAGTGGGGATTACTGGTTTGGTAACTGAACTCAAATTTAGGTGAACTCTGAACTTCATTTAAGCCACTCAGCATGAGTGGATGCTGAAATCCTCTCTTCCTGTGATAAAACCAGCCCGTCTTTCTCTTCAAAGCAACCCCAGAGTGCTCAAGTCAGTCTAAGCTCACTTTTATAGCTTAAAAGTCAGTATACATCTGTCTTGGACCCAGTTCAGTGGAGTTAATAATGGGGAAAAAGGAGATTTATTCTGATCTGACTATATACCACACCATGAATTCAGAAGACAGAAAATAGTGAACTAGCAGAACATCAGATGTTAGACCATCTTGATGCTCCTACTGGAAGGTGCCTTTAGGAGGTAGGCAAGTGACTGAGTTGACACCAAAATGCTTTAGAAAATGCCACATATTAACAAAACTAATATCACACCCTTAAATTATCATTATGACTGGGAATGTGCTTCCTTATGTATGGTGTTGAAAGGTCCAGCTAAACCTCCTCTGAATAAAGCGATATAATTTAAGCTTCAAAACTTTTTATGATTAAATATTAGCTCAATAGTAAAATCACTATGCTGCCAGTTCTCACTGTTTTGGAAAAGCAATTTGAGAATTTATGATCAACAACATGAAATTTTGTTTTCCAACTACAGTCATAGGGGAAACAACTGAAATAATGAGATTTATGCAGTAACAACAGAGATCAGAATTCATATTTTGACAATTTTTCATTGTTCACCAGGAGTTGAGTAATTTAATATTCCATAAAACTTTTTTGCTATTATGGGAAAACTAGCAACATGAGAAGTAAAAACCGGAATAACTACATCTGCTATTGAAACTGGATGTCTGTGACGGGCTCCTTTATAGACTGTCCCCAGAGAGGAGTTGACCTTAGTAGAACAAAATTAGCAGAGATAAGATTATATGGGATCAAGTGTGAGATTAGAATTCAGTTACTTGCTCTCCTCAATTCTCTTAAGATTACCAATAGTACATGGAGAATTAGCTAGAGATGTTTTTATCTGTCTGTCATCCGTATATCTATGTGAGCCTTTTGCTTAGTGCATAATGGAAAGCTAGTTAAATTCCATTAGCATCATTAGGAGTGTTCCCAATCACGGCAAAATAATAAAATGGTTTCCTCTTGGCAGATTTTATGCTTTTTCAATCACTGCAGTAGACGAAATCAATTACTTGCTTGTATGTGGTGCTCATGGACCACTGTGAAAGTAAAATGAGTGAACAGAGAATGTATAAGGCAATCTTATAAAACGTTGTAGGAACCTGTATTTAGAAAAATAGTTAAAGATGCAGTATCTCTTAAACCAAGGTGAGCAAATATATGAAATCTGGAAGCAAAATGAAATCTCTTTGTATGTATAGAAGTCGCATCACAGAGATTGAATGAGGATGGTGAGTGAGGACAAGCAACACTCTCATGTGACCCTCTAAACCTGACAGAAGAACTCTGATGTGTGACTTCAAAAGGAAGATGAGGCAAGGTTGGCTCACAGTCAACAATAGACTGTGAGAGATCCAATAACATATAGAAATATAGAATACTCCATTTATAAAAGAATCAGCAGGTTCTAACCCAGAATCCTGATCAAAGTAGCAGAAGAGGGGAGAAAACCCCTTTAATGCTCTCTCCACTCTGGACCCACAAACTAGTTGAAAAAAGGAAAGTCTTCTGAAACAAAGACATTAAAGACAAAAATGTTGATGATAGAGGTATAAGTTATGTGACACAGATACTGGGAAATTACCCAGTGCCAACTGTCGATTGTCAATCTACTATCATGCAGCAAATCTTTTTTCAAATTTTATTGATTTTTATTGAGCTCTTCATTTTTCTCTGCTTCCCTCCATGCAGCAAATCTTAAGAGAGATTGTGATCCAAGTGCTGTAGGTGGAGTTTCCCTGCCCCGCAGTCACTCTCAAAGAAACACATTGAGGTTTATATTACAAATGCTCGGTCAATAGTTCAGGCTTATTATTAACTAGTTCTTACATCTTAAGTTAGCTCGGATTCCTTATTCTACCATGTGGCCATGGCACATTTATCTCCTGCTTCCTTTGTGTCTGGCTGGCTACTCCACTGACTCCACCCTCCTTCTTCCCATCATTCTCAGTTTGACTTTCCCTCCTAACTTCCTGCCCGGCTCCGGGCCTGTCAGCTTTTTATTAGCCAATGAGAGTCTTACCTATTCACAGTGTACAGAAGGATTATTCCACAGCAAAGTGGAATACACTAGGAGGTGTATAAAACGGCATAGCCACATGAACACACCCAGAAGCTGCTCCTCAATGCATTGAGATCCTGAGACCAAGATAATCACAGCACTGCATTTGACATGACTTGAACTAAAAGTCAGAGGAGCAAGCATACTAACATTAGATGGGTGGAGTCATAAAAGGCCTGGCCAGATGAGATCACCAAGCTGCAAGCCCCTTCTCCTCTAGGTGTGGTTGCTTCTGTAGTTAATATTCTACCCCTGTATGCTATTAAAGATGGTGGCCACCCCTCTGAACACATGGGCTCCTGATTTACTTGCTAAGTCCCACCTCCATTGCAACAGAAAGGAATAATGACAGAACTCTAGGATAATCTAGTCCTATTCCTCGGCTGGAAGAAAATTGCTGATTAAAATACTATAACCAACGATATCAGAGCAAAATCATAAATGTCAACACAAAAATTAAGAAATCTTAAGAAAAATCAAAGCAACAAGATTCCTTTGGAAGTTACCAATTCAATAATGATGAATTCCAATGAAAGTCAATTAGAAAAAAGACCCAAAGATTTCAGAATAGATCCCAAATCTAGAGGGAAGGATGGCCATCCAGACACAGGAGACATTTGGAATAATAAACAAGACCATGAAACATTCAGCTACATCAACTCAGAGGTAAAACAGTGTGTATACTGAGCACAGAATGTCACACACTGCAAGAGAGGATCATTGAGTTTATATAAGGCAAAGTCATCAGAGCAGCAGCGTTTTCAAGACTCTACAGTCTCCAAAGTGGAGATCATAATATATTTTGATCTCTGAAAAAGCAATAGCTGCAGACCTACATTTATGTTTTCTCTAACAATACATTTCAGAATTACAGGAAAAATTTGTATCATGACTAGCACCAACTAAGGAAATACATATTACTAAGCAAGCCCTGCAGAAGATAACTGAAGGAATCTAACATATTAAAGGAAAAAATAGACATATCCATGAAGTCACAGTGAAGAACCAACCACACTAGAGAATAGAATAAAAACAAAAACAAAGATTATCAAAGTACCAATAGTATAAAAAGAGAGAAATGGAAAGTATTAATCTATACTTTTAAAATTATAAATGTTCATGACCTCAATTCTCTAATGAAAAGAAAAAGGTCACCATGTCCATTTAAAAGACGAAAGACATTTATTAGTTACCTAGAAAAACAAACAAACAACTGATTGACTAAGACAAGCAAAACCTTAGGGTGGAAACAAAAAGCAAGCAAGCAAGTTCATACTAATATCTAACAACATAGAGTTCATTCCAAAATTATTCAGAAAATATAAATAAGGTCACTTCGTATAAGTATAAGTAAACTATCCTTTGGAATGGTATATAATTCTAAACATGAATACACTGGATACTGCATGTCCAAATTCAAAACTACAAACACTATTGAAAGGAAAGGTGCAGACTGAACTCAAGACAATAACAGTGACTGGATTATTGTAATTATGGTAGCATTATCCACAAAAACCAAGTTATGAAATCAGTCTTGGTATACATCAACGTATAAGTAAATTAAAAATGGGATATATTTGAACAATGCATCTTTATTTTACCACAAAGAATAAAATAATCTTATTGACTAGAAATGGACGCAGCTGGGAATCATAACTTAAGCAAAACAATGGTAATAATTTGCAAAAGACGAATATTGATTTTCTTTCATTATTCTAACCTTTATTTTATATAGAGATATAAAAAATTACATGTATACATGTGTGTTTGTGTGTGTGTGTGTGTGTGTGAGACATAAAAACAGAAAATGCCTGTGTGGAAAAGGAAGGAAGGGCACTGTAGAGTGGGAAGTGAAATGAAAGTGATATGGAGAAGAGGGATGGGGTAAACATGGTAGAAAAAAACTGTATGAAGCCCATCACTATTTAAATAAATATATGCCAATAATTTTAAATTCATGCTATATTAAGAGCCTGTAATCAGTGTTACTGCCAAAAAGTTAACTAAGAAAGTCATTAAAAAACCATACATGCACATTGATTCATTGCTTCTGGTATTTTAGAATCATGAAGCGTTCAATACAGAGCAAATATGACGAGTATTTTTGGAGCTAGAGAGATGGCTAATTTCCCAGCACCCACATGGTGGCTTACTATGGCCTGTAACTCTACTTCCAGGGGATCTGACATCCCATCTGCCCTCCACAGGCAGGGATGTGGAGGTGGCACATATACATGCACTCCATCACACAACATATACACACAAAAGGAAAAGACCAAACCTTTGCTACCTGAGTGTAAACAACAGAGAACCAGCATGCAGCACAGGTAGAGGCACACCATTCAACAAAAGGCAACCCAGGCGTTTGAGTCTTACTGTTTCCTGTAGTTTCGGTGAAATTCACAGGGGTTCCTCCTCAGGATGAGGGATTCCAGTGGTGTGTACCGTAAACTGGAGAGGCCAGCTAGTGTCTCGATGTGGTTGTCGGCCAGTGATAAATGTTGTATTTGAGGAATCTTTGGTAGTTGCTTGAAAGATGTGATATAGTTTTTGCTCATATTTAAAACTCTGCACCTGGAGGCAACATGAAAGTCTTGCCATTCACTTTCTAGAGTGGGTAGTGAACAACCAAATCTCACCATTTTCCAGTCCTGCTAAGACTATGGAAAACCGCATAGGAAGTTAAATTACCAAGAGCCATATTAACTGAGGGAGTGAACTGGGTGAGTAGAGCCTGTTATGCACAGGCATCTCTTCCCATGTGTTCAATTGATCTTGAAAAAGTGACTGGATCCATGTTATTTCCTCAGCATAAAAGAAAATACAAAGTAACTCAACCTGTGAAGATTAGCGCCTCTCAGAAACAAAGTAGCTGTTCCTCCTGATTTTGTGTACATATTAAATTCTATAATGAGGATGGCTATTTGAATAAGAAGTAAACTTCGTTTCATACAAAAAAGAAATCTACAGAATACTCTTAAGAGAATAAAAGCAAGTTAAGCACTTAAATTCCATACACTTTCTGACACGTGTTTCTGAATATTTTTGCCTTAAAAACCATAATTGTATGAGACCGTGATAGTGGAAGAAGTAGTTCAACATCTGTTTCTAGCACACTACCTTCATATATGAAGAAAGGTATATTTAATACTCCAAGTCAAAATTTTCTAGTTCAGTGTTCTAAATATGCTCTAAACCTATGTGATCACCATCAAATTGCCTTGTTGCAGCCTATTTCTATAAGTTGGGGCAAAATACAACGGATGCATCACTGTTATCTTAATCAGGCTATAAGTCACTAGTTTAATAAATAAGTTAGTGTCATGTGATACAAGTAGCATGTGTGTGCTTGTTTTAGCATCATAAAGTTTCTTTGAATTTTTGTGTTTTGTAACTCATTTTTAAAAAATGAACAGAAGTACATTTAAATGCTGTATAAGCAGTCTGAGGTTTCCCACAGACTTTGAATATGACTGAAGGTAGTGATGGATAAATGAACACTTCGCACATTCTGATGTGGTTTACATGTCTCTGGCTTTGTTTCTTCTCTCTTCTGCAGTGATGCTGATAAGTTTCTCTGGTCTTGTTAGCCCAGGATCAAAGACACATCCTATTTTTTCTGGGATTTACGTTCTTTTTACGTGGAGTCTCTGTTTCCTCCTTCTCTGTTCTCATTTCCTTTCTGTTGCTGAGACAGAGCCATAATAAAGGCTCTTGGGGGGGAGAGGTTTTATTTAGTTTACAGGTTACTGTCCGTCACTACAGGAAAACAAGGCAGGAGCCTGGGACAGAACCAATGGAGGAATGGTGTTTCCTGAATTTCCTTCAGGTGCTGATATGGCTGATATAGCGGTCAAGAGCACTGCCTGCTCTTCCATAGGTCCTGAGTTCAATTACTAGCAACCACATGGTGCCTCACAACCATCTGTAATGAAGTCTGGTGCTCTCTTGAGGAAGAGACCTGGTCAGTCGTCCTCATAAACTTAGACCATGAAACCAAATATGAACAAGTTCAACAAAACCACTATATACAGGTTGCCCATGCATGCTTCAGTATTGCCAGGGCAGAAATTTCAAGTTCTTTATATATAGCTGGCTTATATAAGGCCAGCCTGCCCAGGGTTGGTACTGTTCCCAGTGGGCTGGGCCCTTATATATCAATTAGCAATCAAGAAAATGTCAAACAATCGTGTCAACAGACCAATATGATGGAAGCAATTATTCAATAAAATTTCCTCTTCCCAGGCATGTCAACAAAACTAACCATGCAGTCTTCTAATCAACTCCTGGTGACTTCCTCCTGTCTCTTATGGCCTTCAGCACTCCCGCCACCTACACATTCTGCCTAATGGAGCTGACAGCAGCTCTCTGCAAAGGGGTGTTCTTACACAGCCCCGACGGGAGACACAGAGCGGCTTCAACCACAAGAGTTTGGAATCTTTTGAGGGATGAAGGGGTCCATGAAAAAATTTTCTTATAATGTATTTTGTTTAATATCATATTTGTTTTTGTCATTAGTATAGCAACCTTGGTATCTGTACTATGCAGTCTTGAAGATCATTCTCTTCTTAACTGCTTAGCAGAGCTTCATCACATAAGTGTTCAACAAATGCAGCAACACGAAAATTACTAACTTGCAACCATAATATATATGTAGTGGAATTGTGTTTTCCAGTTCACAACACGAGGAAAATGGCAAGATTTTCAGCTCACCAAGGCCATGATTTTAATTACTGTGCTACAAATTGGTTAAGACAAAAGTGTCTATTTGGAAGATATTTTGACATAAACATTTTTTCTTTTTTTGGCCTGGTCATTTATGCACCTTTGCATAAATGATCACTTCTAAGATATGATCTTACATATATATACATATATATATAATTAAGTATATATATATACATATATATATAATTAAGTATATATATATATATTACTTCAGAATGGTCACTAGTACCTTGGCAATCTTATGGTGTTTAGATTAACCAGTGAATTATCCACCAACCATAGGGTTTCCACTCGAATCAGCCTTCTAAGAATCCTGTGAAAGTTTTCAAGTTGAAAAGGGTCCCCCAAATCCTGAAATGAAATGTTCAGTTTCTGAAGGAAAAACAAAAGCAATAAGTTGTCAATTCTAATGAGTCATTATTCAAAGTATGATAATGCATCTCTTATTAAACTTTTGTTGAAATCATCTCTCCCTTCATCTTCAAAAATGTTCATCATCCTAAATAATCAGAGTGATCTTAGAGGAATCACGAGAATTCTTAGAGGAAGCTGGATGCTAATCAGAATTGCTGAGTGGTATAAGGTAAGAAGGAAATGAGAGAAGGGTAGGAGTCTGAAGAAAATTCTGAAATTTTTATAAAGGTACAGATTATAGTTGGTAAAAATCTGAAGGAGAATGGTCTGAATTCTCTTTAGTCCGTCTATAGGTTTTACTCAGAAATAATCAGAAATCATATTTATGAAAGTTTCAGAGACAGACAGCATTGTATTCAAAGGTTAAAACAACAACTACAAACAAAAGACTTTATTTCAAGCACAGTAATTTAAGGTTTAGTTTTAATATGAGTCAACTTTTGGGTATAGGAAGCCAGTTCTGTCTCTGGGCTCTATAACCTCCATTCATAAAAGACAATGCAACATTTTCAAGGAGGTCTCACCACTGAGTGCTGCCAATAAACGCTGTTGAGTAGAATAGTAACCCTTTAAAGTGTTGAAGCAAACTAATTTGGTATAGTTTAGGAGCTACAGGCATCTAAAGAAGCTGCCTTAGAAAGACTCAGGTCTGAGGCTGGAGAGGTGGCTCTGTGGCTCAAATGCTTACCACTCAATGGTGAGGATCTAAACTTGAACCTCCAGAACCCATGTAAAAAGAGGGCATGATAGCAAGCATCTGCAATCCTAATTCTGTCATGAGATGGACCGTGGAGAAAGAAGAACCCTCCAAAGCTCACAGGCCAGCTCGCCTGGAATGTGTAGGATGTTCAGCAGAGATATCCCTGTTTCATAAACGAAAGACAACTGACAACGAAGGTCATTCTCTGATCACCATGTGTTCTATGTGGTATGTGCACACCCACACATATATGCATGCATGCACATATCATAAACACGTGAAAAGAAGGTTAAATAAAATAAAATTGAGGTCTTGATATTATAAACATTAAATATTATAAAGTTGCACAGTTAAAGTTCTGTTTTATATAAGCACAAAAGACTCTTACCTAAAAATAAAACGTAAGAAATGAAAAAAAGGTCATACCCATATTCTACACATCAATGTCCCTGATCAATTGTCTTATTGACTGTTAATTTGCAATTAGATCTTCCATGGTAATTTAGTGTTTATTAAGTCAGCTTTTTATAGTTACCCAAAGGTTGATTATATTTTACCTTTTTTTTGTTTACTTATTTTTCATGTCTTTCACATCATGAGTCCTGATGGCACCTATCTCCTGTCCTCTCACATCTGCGCTCTGCCCCTGCAACTCCCTTCCCCCAACAAACAAAATAAAATTTATGATTAAAAGAGGAAAACAAAGAAACAAAGAAAGGTGAAATCTCCTCATGGATGTTTCAGTGTGACCGAGCGCATCAGGCAGTAAACCCCTTTATTCATACATCTTTTACATGGAGGTGTTCATGGCAAAGAATCATTTGGTTGGATGGAGGCACCCTGGTCTCTGTGACACTATCTATGTGCGGCCCTTGCTGGTACTTTTCCTGGACATCCCGTTGCTGCCCTGTGTCCATGTGGATCCTGTAGCTGTAGGTCCACAGGATGGAGTGGATGTTGGGGTGGCTCAACACTTAACCATGGCTCTGGGCCTGGGTATCTCTCCCCGTCTTCAAGACCAGGAAGTCTTGAAGTCTTCTCCATCATTTCCTAGTGTAATTCACACCTTGCAGCAATTAGCAAGGGGGAGGGGCCAGTTCTTCAGCTTTCACATCCTCAGGGTCATTTTCTCCCTCATATTTTCAGGGCCAGCTCTACTGTGCTGCCCCGGGTGAGCTGTACGGGAACCTATCCTGAGTGCCGCAGCTGATGAGGGGCAGGAGCAGCTCTCCCACCGGAGGCAGCTGGGGTGGGATGTCTCCTCTGCCCATGCTGTCACATGACAGATGATTCCTGGGGACAGCTCTTCCTCAGGTGTTTATGGGCTAGCATGCAGGGGTGGGGGTAATTAAATTTTTTGATGAGCATTGATTAACTAGTTCCATTGACCTTTATGTTACCCTGTGCTTTAAACTGTAGCTGTAAAGAATGACTACGCCAAAATAATCACCTTGAAAGAGGAGGCTGGAAGTGAAGGTCAGAGCCTTGCATGCACTGTTTATCTTTTTTAAAATAAATGAGTGGGCACACTGTTAAATTTGAAAGGGTATTATTCATCCATTTATTTTATAAGAATGATTTAAAATTAATTTTAAAGAAAGTGTTATATTACATGATATTCTGTTTTACATCTTCCATCAATAATCTCTGCAACCTTGAGAAACAACTTTTTTTTCTGGGTCTTTTGAAAGGAGGAATTTAAAACAGACACTTTACAATCCCTTCCTATACACTATTAATTCTATGACATACAAAGTCAGCTCGTGAAGTAAAGGAAGAATTGGGAGAGCCCAACCTGTAGCTTTTGAATTCAAGTTCACATTAGGAGATGTCCTAAGACCCTCCAGTGTGATTTAATCATTTTATAGAGTTGCAATGAGCATTATTTTCTCTTCTATTGCTACCAGTGCTACCAATGACATTGCCAAATAAATATACAATCCTCTGCCAGCAGGTGCCTTTTAAGGGGACTAAATTAGAAGCCAATTGATCACAGCCACTGTCACCTAGGGAGTGGGCAGGATGACTAATCACAGGGCTGTTTCAGAGCCAGCAACTCAGTCAGCTGAGCTTCACCATGTGAGATCACAGCTCATACCTGTCCTGGTGAAGGAGTTCATTAACACAGGTTCTATGTAGGCAAGGTTGGCCACCCAAGCTGTACAAAACTTTTACCCTGACCCATCAATAAAGAAATTCTAGATACTATCATAAGCTTACTGATACAAATTACACGAAATTTGACAGTTTAGAAATCGTTTTATTTTGTGTTATGTGTTAGATGTTTTGCATGCATGTGTGTCTATGTCTACCACATGGGTACAGGAACCACAGAGGACAAAGAGGGCATTGGATCTTCTAGGCCTGGAGTTACAGACAATGTGAGCCACCATGTGAAGCCTGAATACTGAACTCCAGACCTCCGGAAGAGCAGCCAGTGCTTGAACCACAGAACCATCCCTCCTGCCGTAAATTGAACTATTTTTTTTTTAAATAAAGGGAACAATTTTATTTTTACTTATTTTCAACTTTTCCAACATTTAAGAATGCTAACATAGCCGGACAGTAGTGGTGCACACCATTAATCCCAGCACTCAGGAGACAGAGGCAGGCAGATCTCTGTGAGTTTGAGGCCAGCCTGGTCTACAAGAGCTAGTTCCAGAACAGGCTTCAAAGCTACAGACCTGTCTCAAAACAAAACAAAACAAAAATCCAAACAAAAACAAACAAAAGATACTAACATAAAGGTAAAAAATACATGACATTGTCAGGATGAACAGAAAGTGGGAGGAAAGATGGGCTTTTAGATGGATATCTGAGCTGCTGGTCATTTTGGTTCTTAGGCTGGGAATTGCTGCTTAAGAAAGATACACTCCCTGAAGTTCTTATAATTTTAAACGAGTACTGCTGTAGCCTATCAGCAGGCAGGGCAAGTTTTACCAGAGCTCACCTCGCAATCCTCCCAGTTTTCTTGCAACCACATTTCCCATCTGTTTTTCTCAAGGACTCTTTTCTTTGGAGTCATGGCGCACCCCACTTGTCTGGAGAGTAACCATTCTTCAGAGGGCCCTAAACCAAAACCACAATGTGAAACCGCAGAAGAGGTCAGGAGAGCAGGGTTGAGGCTTTCGCTTGACTTTTTTCTTAAGTGTTTGGAACTGGTTCTCTATCTGGACGGAAAAGAACATTTTATTTAAAAGATGATATTAATCCCTTCTGATGTATGCTCTACCCCCGTTACCATGCCTGATCCAGGTAGAAGGAAGCTGGATCCCTTGACCATACCGCAGGACTTCTCCACATTTTTCTCTTATAAGTATCACCAGAAATGCTTTTCTTAAAATTTGCCCAGTGGACTTCCTCTCATGTGGACAGGTTCTCTGTCACTGGTTGAAATTCTGGCTGTAGAACCCGTAGTAGAAGGTCAACTGGGAGGCTAAACCCCTGATGTGGAAACAGGGAATCAGACTCATAGATACAGCAATAGCACATAGGTAAGTCCCTCACCCTGGTTTCCCTGTTCCTCTGTCTTCTGAAGAAGCCCTGTCTAATGTCTTTTTCCCTTAGAGGTCTCATTGCATCGCGGGTTACACAAGAGGAGATGGAACCAATGATTTTATTTCTTTTTTATGTATCAATTTTAATTTTCAGTAGAATTTACAGAAAAGAGAGTATAGCTAACAGAAAAACGAGGACAGTTTCAGATAATTTAAATTTACACCTATATAGACTATTGGCAATGAATGAATAATACATATATTTATATGTAAAACCAATGTTTCATGTTTCTAAAGATGATTAAAAGTAAATTTTTATCTGCATGAGTTGAGTGTGAACCAGTGGTAGAAAAATTGCCTGAGATATGGAAGATTGGGTTTAATTTGCAGTAAACACACACATACACTCACATGTAGATTCCTTTTATTTTTTATTTTTTAATTTTCACTTATTTATTTATTTACTTATTTATTTTTTTTTGAGACAGGGGTTCTCTGTAGTTTTAGAGCCTGTCCTGGAACTAAGCTCTTGTAGACCAGGCTGGTCTCGAACTCACAGAGATCTGCCTGCCTCTGCCTTCCGAGTGCTGGGATTAAAGGCGTGTGCTACCACAGCCTGGCTGTAGATTGCTTTTAAATTTGAAGTAGCATATTACAAGTGAAAACAATATTTAAACTATATATCATCTGTCATTTTATTAGACCATCCAAAATTCTGGGCATAGATCTTAAGTCTCAAATGTAATTTAATTTATTTTTTTAACAACTACTAAAAAAGTAACATGAGTTACTTTCATTCATGGAGGAAAAATCAGCAGGTATATTTAACCTTTAGTCCAATGCAAATTATAACTAGCAGACAAAAATGAGGAAACCCACTAGAATATATTATCTTTTCACCCTGGTCTCTCAATTTGGTGAGCTTTTTATCTGATAACTTTCCCCATGAGACTCCATCTCTTCCTTTTCAATGTCTGGAGACTCCTATTTTCCCCTTAAACAGCAGCTGCTTCTCAGGAACCTCCTGGTAAGCTGCCAAAGAGTGTCCAAGCAGCATTTGCCATGGGACATGCACATTCAAAACATGACAGTCATGTCTTACTACCTGCCCATAAACCCAGCCTTGTTAACAGAACTGCCCACATCTTAATCTGATTTGCATTTCCAAAGCAATTTTCTTCCATTCTCTAATATTCTCCTCCAAATAAGATTTGCTCACAGTTCTCACAGTTAGGAAAGCTTGTTCTGCTGCTGATCTTGACGTGAGTGGAAAGGAGCCGTGTGACTCTCGACTTTCAGCTACTGATCTTCATTCAGTTCTTTGCCTATCTAAAAATACCAGAAAGGTCAGAAACAAGGACCCAATGTGAGTTGAGTTTGAGGGAGCACATACTTGCTTGGCATTCACAATTATTTATAAAACATTTATTTCTAAAACAAGTGGCCAACATATGCTTTCTTATATTCATTATCTGCTACACTGTTTATTGAGCTACACCCAGCAAAGCTAATTCTTCTATCAGCCAGAGCCCCTGAAACAACTTGGGGGTGAGTTGCCTCCCCCCAAGACTGCCTCCAGCTCTCCTATATTGGATTTGTATATGCTGGAGCTGTGGCCTTTGTACTCACTTCTGTTTATTTTTCTGGAATTCACGGCTCTGCTCTTTCCAAAAATAAAGATATCGGGAGAAGGGAAACACTGGAGACACCACGGGCCAGCATTGCTCTCGTGGCGTGTTAGTCTAGATGATGATAAGACACAATGATCCCTTTTGTGAAGGATTTATGGAAGCAATAAGAGAAAGTCCCATGTTTCATTTTTCTGACACAAGCATTAGTCTTTTTCACCAGGGGGAGATGTGGGTCAAGAAGTCATCTGGCCTATTTCCGTCACAATGAACTGCACTGTGGTAACCCCGGAAATCCTTTGACCCTGAGTGTGGTAGGGTCATCAACTTTGCAAATCAGATAGGCTCAGCTAGGAAATGTTCTCCATCAAGGAAGACTATTGGAAATAAAATCCACAGTGGACAAAGCTTTAAAAATCTACCTAATTGACCTTGGGTTCCTTCAAACAGTACTGTCTTGAACCCTCTCCACATTTGGTAATGCGCTCTGTGTGCTGAATACCCCTGACTTTTGAAGCTCTGCCCTGTACTGTTGGGTTGAATGCTATTGATTTTCTGGTCTTTTAATTATTTCTCTTTGGAGTAGCTTCCGAAGATTTCCTTGATATTGGAGGTCAAAGGTCATTTTCTCTGTGAGAAGTTACTTTAAATTGGTCTTTTTCTACTCCTCCTGGGTTAGTAATTGAAGATCTATCTTAGCTGCTAAGACTATAGACTGGAGTACCTGAGAGCCCAGGGATGTTGGCTCTCCCTCCTTATCTCACAGCCATTCTTTGTCCCCTTGCTGGATGTGTAGCTAAAAATGGCAGTCAAAGAATCACTTTGCTGAGAGATTTTCAAACGGAATAAATATATCCTTCAAAAGGATTCTGTCAACAATGGGCTTGTTTGCCCCATTTAATTGGAACAGGCTAAGTCACCCTGGATCCAGCAATCAAAGCCTCAGGAAATTGCTGTTTATCACGCACCAGATAACCTTGCTTCCCTTACCAAGTCTTTGAGAATGGACCATTGGGACAGTGGAGACTGTCTAAAATAGATTTGATAAATGGTTGAGGATCTAATCTCAAAGGAGGATAATTCTTATCAGCATGCTCTTGAGAGCATTTGTTTTTCATCTCATAAAGCAAATTTAAACCAAATTAAGGGCATTGTAGAAGGGTCATCTGTTTTCTTTATAGTTTAAGGTGATGGACTTTTATCCAGGGTTTTCTTTCCCGTAGGCAATGTTCTGTTTCTTTTATCGTTAGTCACTTAGAAGTGATTGGGTGCTGTTAATGATGGGAGGGAGGGAAATGCGCCTTCATCTCAGAAGAGCAATGATGTCCTCTGCATGAATGGTTACTATTGTCATGGAGTGGGATTGGTTTTGCTGATTGATGACCTCAGCCCTCGACCTGGCCCTTCAAATTAGGGAGGAAGGGAGCCGAAGCACTGCCTTTGTACATGCTCGCTTTCAGTCTCCTCTCAGATTTACTGCTCCTTTCACGCCCACGTGTTCCTACAGTGCTGTAGTTCTCATCACACCTCAGCCCTCCACCTGTGCCCAGAATACAGCTTCTTTTTGCATCCTTGTGGCTGACAAAATCATCAAGCACCCCCAAAGCACATGTGTACATACTCATGTGCACGTGCATGCACACACACACGCACACACACCACACCACACCACACCACACCACACCACACCACACCACACCACACCACACCAATGTTCTTCCTTTTTTTTAACCTCCTCACTATCAAATGTTTCTCTTCAAAACACTCAGTCATCTCATAGCAAGGCCTTCAGATCATCTCCAGCAGAATCCGCTGTCACCATTTAACAAATGCAGGCAGGCTCCAGAAGCCCATGCCACAGGAGCAATATCACATAGTGGTGTAAAAGGCCCAGAAATGTGATTTTTTTTTCACGAATCACTTAAAGACCCAGACTGACTCCTGTTCATCTCATCCAGGGGGCGTGGCTCCCTCTCCATGGCACCGACAAGCTCCTCCCTCCATATTTGGTGTCTGTATCTTCCGATCTCCCTCCTTCCTGATTTTCTGAAATTTCTCTATCTTTCAAAAAATCGTGTAATGTTTCTGAAGGCCATGTCTAATCTATGTGTCATAATGTTACTTACCAGTCTTTCTAAAATAAACGTTAACGCTTAGCTGCCTATAGAGTTGATTGCACAAAAGTAAGTAAACATGTTTTGTACCAGGTTTAGGAAAATGAAACTTAAGTCTTCCTTTGTTGACTGAGTCTGACTGGGAGACATGCGTTATGTGGGTTAAAAGAGTGGTACTGGGAGTAAGAAATCAACAGGTTAACATCCCTGACATCACTTTACAAAATCAATCAATTATGTAACATACAGTGTCACTGCAGTACTTTAATATAGAGGAGAAATGTAACAATATATTTGAAGTTTCATAAACACTAAAATTTCAATGAAATGGGAATTGCATAATATTGTTTTACTGACTTGAGGGGGATAAATACATGAAGAGAAGAGAAATGCATAGTCCCTTTCTACAATTCTAGTCTACTAAAGTACAAGTCCAGTGACCTGAGAAACAGATTCTGAGAAGATGAGCATTTCTGCTCAAGCAGAAAGAAACAATTCACCTTTCCTCTGCATTTTTATTCTATCATGGTCCTCGAACCATTGGATGGTTCCTACCCATGATAGGGAAAGGTAAATCTTTCTTGCTCAGTCTGCTAATTCAGATGATAACCTTTCAACAATATCCCCACAGACAAAGTCAGACAGAACACTTTGCCATCTATTTATACATTCCTTAATCCAGATAGGTTGACAATTAAATTTATTACCATTATGATGTAGGTGGGCCTTCTGTCTATGTGTTATTTTCATTGGTTAATAAAGAGACTGCCTTGGTCCTTTGATGGGACAGAAAACTAGGTAGGCGGAGTAAACAGAACAGAATCCTGGGAAGAGGGCAATGAGGCAGACACCATGGAGCCAGCCACCAGGTCAGACATGCTGAATCTTTTCCGGTAAGCCACCACCTCGTGGTGCTACACAGATTATTAGAAATGGGCTAATCAAGATGTGAGAGTTAGTCAGTAACTAACTCTCTAGAGATAATGGGCCAGGCAGTGTTTAAATAAATACAACTTGTGTGTTGTTATTTCTGGGGCTAAGCTAGCTGTGCAGGAGCCGGGCGGGATGAAAAGCAGGCCTGCCCGCAGCTCCTCACTACACCATTAGAGGGTGTTTCAATATGAATAAATAAGGCTTGTATTAATTTTCCCGGGTTGGCACCACTCAATCACTGAGGCCCAGAGAGGTAAAAGGCAGAGGGAAGATGAGTCCACTCTCTGTTCTAGAGCTGGGACTCAGTAGAACTCCATATGCCCTGGCCTTTAGTTGCTAGGCCTTATATGAGAATTCTCCCATTAGACTCTAGTGAAGAAAGTCACGAACCAGCTTCCCTGTTTCTGAGGTCTTCAGACTCAGTCTCAAATCCACTACTAGTTTTCCTGGTTCTTCAAACTTGTTGACATATTTTGGGACTTCACGGCTTCCATAATCATGTAAGCCAATTATTATAATCGATATCTTATAATTTTATCTATAGACAAAAAGTCTTGTTTCTCTGGAAAGCCCTAGTATATTGAATATTCTCTTTTGTTGATTTTTATTATAGATTTACACTAGATTAAAGCAGTAAAAGAGCATCAACTGAGATGTTATTCATACTTATAAAACAATAAATTGATTTCTAAAACTGACCACTGGTTAAATACACTTAAATGTTCAGGTAATACAAATGTATAAGTTTAAAATGCATGTTTTAAGTGGTAGCATATTAAAGAGAAATGAATAAATATGGTTTCATAATTATAATATGTATATATGAAAAATATATATGAAAATCTAGTTGTTGTGGGAATTTATTCAGCCAATAGCCTTTAGATACCAGTCCATTAGTGTGTGGTCTGAGGTACTATAGGCACAGACAGGAAGCATGCTAGCTCCTCTTTTTCCTTTAGCTTGGTTGGTGGTTGGATTTCGGTTTCGAGCCCCAGCACCCACACAGCAGAGGAACACATCAGATTTCTATTGTGTGTGGTTCCCAATAAACATTTGTTATTTTTTATTATGGGCTCTTGGGGACCCTCCTTTAATTACACAACATCTGTTTATTTTAGGTGGTTGGTTACTGGACCTTCTTTATGTTTCTATTCAGTATTTAGTACTAATTATTATTTTCATAATATTCTAAAAATAAAGTTACTTATAAAGAATCCTTTGCTATTACAGAAGAAGAAAATTCAATCCACACTATTTTCCCCCATCCCCAAGGAATACAGAATTATATTTTAATATGCACTGTGGTGGTTTGAAAGAAAATGGGCCCCATAGTTTCATATATTTGCATCATTACGGATGGGTTTTAAAGTTTTATAATCACACATCAGGCCCAGTATCTCTCTCTTTGTCTCTCTCTTTTTCTGTCTCCCCACCCACCCCATGTCCCGTCCTTCCCTCCCCTCCCCCTCCTCTCTCTCTGGCTTCTGTTTCTGGATAAGCAAGCTTATCCAGAATTGTTGTCTTGGTCATGATATCTCTTCATAGCAATTCGACAATGATGAAGACATACATACACACAATAAAATCTACTCAGAAAGTGCAAAAGAAATAGTCCCTTTTTAAAATTACCTTTTCTTACTCTTGGGCAATGTAGCTGACTTCCTTGAATGTCATGGTCTTCTATATTGTTCCATAGAAGATATTTATAAGAATCTGTTGGAAACTTAAAATAAGAGAGAAGAGAAACATTCATCTATTATATGTATACATTTACATCATATAGTGTATTTAATTTGCTTGTATGCATCAAGTATTTAGTCAGATTAAAGTCTGCATGTCTTATGATGGAAGCCACCTCAGTGAATTCCACATTATGCATCTTCACGTCCTCTGACCCAGCCCTTGAGATTTTTTATGTTTGATGGGCAACAACAGAGTGAATATGTATGTATACACATGTTCATTTACATAAATATACATGCATACAAATAAAATCACATATATACATTTATATGTATAAAAGCACTAAGAGTCTAACACCCTTTAGTTGTTTGTTTACTATTTCATGATGAATAATTGATTGTAGGACATGACTAACTTGTAAGATTGCTTCGCTAAATGGACCCAATTCATTATGTACCTCCTGTAAACTGTTCCATGTGTGAAAGATCTACCCTTATGAAGTTACATAAAAGAATCTTTCTGTCTGTGACTACTATATTATATGTCTGACGGTATTCATTACCTTCCTAAGTAACTCAACTCACCACACACATCTTGGTTTATAAACTATTAATCATCCTGTGAAGCAGTCCTATATTAACACTAACTTTAAAATGCGTAGCATTTATGGAATGAAATATTTCAGATTATATTATTTTCATTTTTTTTGCAGTCAGATTAGCATGAGGAGAACATGCGCTTACACTGTGTTCTGGAGTAATCTTGCAGGGTACTTCCTGCTGTTCTAGAAGCCCTGAGTTCAGTTTCCAGGACAGAGAGTTAGTGTTTCGCAACTCCCTGTAATTCTGGCTCCAGGGGATTACAGTGCCTCTGGCTTCCACCCGTTATCTGTTGCAAAGGTTGTCACCAGTCAAAATTCCAGTATTTTGCATTTCTGGTGACATTTCTGAGGTTAACATAAACAAACAAATACAATTTATATTACTGAACAAATGCTATCTAAATATACACACACACCATAGATTCATTCTTCTGTTATCCATTGCTACACACACGCAGAACAGGCGAACCCAGGGTAGGGGGTTTAACAAAATATCAACAAGGCATTAAAAACAACTGCATTAATCTTACTGATTAATAACTCACATAGCTCTTGGTTTAAATTTGTGTAAATATTATAAAAAACATTTCAACTGCTAGATAAATTTGTCCTCCCGGTGGTAAATAGAAATTAAACATGAGCTTTTTCCTTACGGGATTCAGACATTTAGGGATCTAATATACATGCTAGTATATACTGTGAATTGTTTTCAGGGCTTTTAAGTCATAAAACCTTTCATTCTTGGCCCAACATATGGGAACACTGGAAAAAGACTGTCAAAAATTAAGTTAGGAAAGGACAGCTTTAACCCACAGATTTTGAGGCTGAGAGGAGTGTCAGCGTTTAAGAGAACTTCCTTCTCTTCTAGAAAACCTGCATTCGGTTGGTTTCCAAGACACAAGGTTAAGTGTTTCACAATTGCCCATGACTCTGGCTTCAGGGGTTTAGAGTACCTCTGGCTTCCATCAGCAACTGCACTCAAGAACACATACCCACAGAGTGAAGCGCAGACACACATATAATTAAATTCATACAGAAAATAGAATTTCAAATTTTGATCTTTTGATTTTATTACTTAGTCCCTTGATGATCTGCATTCTTTAATATATAAACTACATCTTCATTATAAAAATAAATTATCATCCAAAATCTGGTTAGCAGATGCTAAAATGTTAGGACTGCTAGTATAATTTGTTGAAATAATCAGTTTTGGCTAATGAAGTTTCCAGTAATTAAGTAATTGCTTTTGTGAACTGTCTCTAAAACAATAAACACAGCTCTATCTTAGATTGGTAAACTACAGTGATTGACTTATTCTTGGCTGTATGGTTTAAATGGTTATAAATAGGCTCAAAGGTTTATATACTTTCAGAATGTGTCCTCTCTAGATTCTATTGTGGAATCCAGGTAAAATTTGCTGTATAGGAAAACTTTCTGCACATCCAATTCCCTGGGGATGCCTTACCCTGTTGCTCCTTTGCACTTCTTTATGAAGCTAATAGTGAAAAGAAAAGGGAATTTATGCTAACGCTGTATTTAAAAAAAAACAAAAAACAAAAAAGAGAAAAAAAACCAGCTTTCATCTTTACAGCTGAAATCCATTTTTTTTGGTAGTTATGTGGTTTAATTTGTGGCTTCTGATCTTCAAGGCAAAGAAGCTGGGTGTGTCTTGCTTACCGTTGTGCTAATTTGTTGGTGTGATTTAGCATGTGACCATTTCTTTCTCTATATAACAACAATTAATTTTCATGTATTGCCTTATGGCTTTTTCCAATTTTGATGGCTCGATTGATTTGCCTAGAGCCTCCTACATTCTAGGTTTTTTTAAAATACGTTCTTCATTTGTTTTTAGATTGGCATAACACTGGTTCATTGTGTGCTTTGTTATAATCATTAATATTATTTTATACATACATACACATACATACATACACATACATACATACATAGATGTTCCTCTGTTGGGTGACAAGCTTATGTCAGACATTGGGTATACAACATTGAATGAAATACAGTCATTGTGTATGAAAGCCTCATTTTTCTATAATTTGACAGCACACATATAAGAACGCTTCTTACTCCTGTCAGCTAAGTGGAACCATTGAAATGAAAAGGTAGGAAGGAAACACACTCCAGGTGCATGTTAAATATAAGCCCATGTATTATTTAAAACATAATATAAGTTCCATTGCCAATAGAAAAATATTTACCCGGAACGATATTCCAGAATCTGAATGTGGAGGGCATATTCTGCTCCGTGAAAGACCTGAATAGGTGTGGGAATCCTTGAGGTCAGAGCAGTAAGACATGGCCGATGGACAGGACTCCCTGGGATCAGAGCCGTACGACGTGGTCGATGGACAGGACTCCCTGGGATCAGAGCCGTACGACGTGGTCGATGGACAGGACTCCCTGGGATCAGAGCCTTTCGACGTGGCTGATGGACAGGACTCCCTGGGATCAGAGCGGTATGACGTGGCCGATGGACAGGACTCCCTGGGATCAGAGCGGTATGACATGTTCGAAGGGCCGGTCTCTTTGCTACTTGTACTTTGATCTAAGGAGCTGAGGGAAAGAATGTGTTTAAAGTGTCTTTGTGTGTCTTTTACTGCCTTAAAAATAAATACCTTCATTTAAAATAACAGCAAATTATAAGCAGAAGCTTCCATTTATAGAAGACAAAAGTGGTACTCTAAGAGTTTATGAAAAGACTTTTATATCTTGTCATCCTTCTACACACACACACACACATACATACACATTTCGGTTTGTAGCCACTTAAAACAAATGGTCTCTATCCCCAAAACAAGGACATCTGCATGAATTGCCTGCCTTAGAAATAGAAATAGTAAGCACACTCCCAAGTTTGTAAGATGCCAAGGAGCTCATGCCATGCACTGGAATTTCGCTACCTGTGGAGCATAGAGCTGACTTGATACCTGCCAGCATTCTTACAGTCTCTCTCTTGTATCATCTCACAAATCTGGGCCATCAGTGTTCCCTGAGAGTTACCATTAAAATTGGTAGCAAACAAATTAAAAGAGAATTTCTGTGAATAACTTCATTCACATTGAAACGCTACCCAACCATTCCACTTGTCTTGTTTCTTCTACATTCTTCCCTATTTTTAAAGAGAAATAGAAAGTACCTTTAATTCTGTTATTGTATCCTTCTATACCAGTTCCCTGCCTTCTTATTCAGTCTTATACCTTTCTCACCAATTGTTATGCATTTGTCTTTCTGTAATCAGTACTATACATAATTTAAATATCCCTAATTTTAATGAGATGATTTGTGTTAAGAAGCCGGTTTTGTTTGTTTGTTTGTTTGTTTGATTGATTGATTGATTGATTGATTGGAGCAGTACTTACCTGTGTAACAATCCTTTTTGTCCTGGACCTAGCTTTATAGACAAGGCTGGCCTCCAACTCACAGAGATCTGCCTGCCTCTGCCTCCCAGGTGTTATGCTAGGATTCAAGGTATTAAAAGTATGTACCACTATGCCTGGCAGCCTGAGAAAGTAAATTTCATAAAGGTCTGTCAAGACTAAACAATAAAAATACAAAATAAAAACAAATTTAAAAAGGCTATCTTGAGGCTCGTTTCTCTCCGCGTAGGTTATATTTCAAACTCAAGAGTCTGCTGTTGTTGCTTTTACCACAGGCAGGCTTTCTTAAAATGTGTCAAAAGTCAGGAAGCATAGCCTTATTCCCCACCAACTGTAGCAGTTTCTGTACTATTCTAGAAGTTTCCAGAGAGCACGGTGCTTTGAAAACACATTTAGAGGAGCTGCATTACAACGCTGCAGCCTGTGAGCTTCACGAATGCTAACATAAGCAAACTCTGACATCAGCAAAGGCACTTTTAGTTAATAATAATGAAGGGAAAAAACTGCAGGAAAGTAAAATAATACCCTTAGGGAATTTTACACCCTACACCCTTGATTTTTAATTTGTTCTTTTAAAAAAATAAAATGTGTAAATGACATCAGAATACTACTAAATATGGGTAAATGGTGGTGGTTCTCAACTCAAATAATGCTCACAAAATGTGAGGTTGAGTTGCAACAACAACAACAAGAAAATCCTCTGCATCTCTCTCTTGGTTCTTAACATGAAGTTTTTCCTTCACGGGTATAATTTTTCTGAAGTACAGCAGAGAGGGAAATGATCTCAAAAACGGAAGATCTGACAGAAAGAGCGAATTGATGGTTTCGTGTGTGTGTGTGTGTGTGTGTGTGTGTGTGTGTGTGTGTGGTGTGTTGGGGGCAGGGCATGCAAAGTGGAAGTAAGTCTAAAAGCAAGTGAAAGCCATCCCATCACCCTGTTTACATTAACATTTTCTGGCTTATTTGTTTATTGGTTATTCTGGGACCAAAGCCAAGGCCTTGCTGTTGTGAAGCTCCCGCTGTGCTTCTGCGCCCCAGCTTTAGGTCTACATCTCCCTGATTTAAAGTAGAACTCTTGGTGACATTATCTTAGTAACAATATAAGTGGGTAATGAGAACATTTGTAATAATAGTGGGAAAAGAGCCAATACCTCCCTCCCTTCTCCCAACCCTGTCCACTGCCCTGCTCCCCCATCTCCAGTCTCCCTCCTACTGCGGGGCAGGAGCTAAGAAGATTAGGAGCTGTAGATGCCCACTTTGACCATCATGGGTGTGGCATTTCTGCTTTCTGCCCTCACTGTCTTCTCCACTCCTGGGCAGCAGGGCAGGAAGCAGTGATCAGACGCGGTGCCCCCGAACAACGTTGTGATAAACCCTTCTGGGACTCTGAAAATCATCAGGGATTTCACTTCCGTCTCAAATGCTATATGGAATTTGGGATTTCTTCTCTTCATTCTGCTCTTTGGTTGCTTCGTTTTGTTCAGAAATCTCAAGGAAACAGAAGGATTTTTGACCCTTTGAAAAACAAAACTCTAAAGTGTCTTCTAGGTCATATAACTGTTGCATCCACAACTGTCCTAATGTGCACAAGACCGAAGATAACATTGCAAGATGTGTGAGTCCTTCGGGCCGTGGTGATGGCTGAGACCCAGACAAGGCACTCGGCATCCACTGCCATCTCTTCTTTATCTCCGGCATTCAGAAGCTAAGGCAGAAGCTTCCTGACTTAGGTTTCACCATGCTGACTTTGCAATGTTCTTGCTGTTACTACTGACATAATAATTCTTTTTCCTTTTTTATATTTATTTGTCTGTGTGAGTTGTATGTGTGGGGCACCACATGTGAAGGTCAAAAGATAACCCAAGGGAATCAGGTCTCACTTTCTAGAATGTACATTTACCTGCTAAGCAGTATTGCTGGACCATACTACTTGTATAATGTTAGAGCTGATATCTTCTTAGGCACTTACATTTTGTTAGGCACTGCATGAAAAGATTTGCATGGATTCACACACTCGACTTTTCAAAATTCCTAATAAAATATGCAACTCTTTTATTTTGGTTTTGTAGAATAGGAAATTAAAGCCCATAAAGTGGGGTGGTGTGAATGTCAAATGCCCCCCCCATCCCCATAGGTCCAGGTATTTAAACACTTCTTTCCCAGTTGTTGACACAATTTGGGGAGGTCTAAGTGTTGCAGTTTTGCTGAAAGATTTTGTCACTGGTGGTAGGATGGAAGATTATATAGTCTCTGATTCCTTGCTTGAAGTTGAGCATGTGAGCTGTCAGCGTCCTTCCCTTTCTTCTTCTTCCTTTCCCAGTAGCCATGTCAACCTGCTGCTCCCGTGACAGTCTCTTCACCCTTCGGGACTTGTAGACAAGCAAACTCTTCCTTCTGTGAGTTACCTTGCCCGGTAATTTATCATAGCAACAGACATGCCACTAACCCAGAGAGAGTAGTTTTCCAAAACCCCCACCCAATTAATGTCCATTAATTAGCCACTAGGATTCAAGTGAGAGGCAGGTGCCATATAAATACTGCCCTGCTTTACAGAATCATAAAACTCTGTCATGAGGCTACACACTTGATAAGGCAAATCATTACCATGGAGTTTTCTTATTCTGAGTGTCTCACTTGGCCATATATAAATTATTTCATTATTGGCTAGCACCTATACGTTATGAAAAGTTCTCATTCACTGCAGCCATAGTTAAACTTTCAAATGTGGAACTAGATGAGAACATCATCCTAGAGCCCAGCATTCTGCCTACAAAGCTCATTCCTCACTCCCCTCACTTCCAAACACACCAGACAGACGCAGCCTACATGGTATATTGGTTTGCTCAGTTTTCATCTTTCTGCCAACCGTGAACAAACAGCACTCATAAATTAACAATCTAAACCCTTGTAACAGAGGAATTAGTGTTATTAATGCTACGGAATAAAGCTGTCCTAGAGAAAGTGCCTTGGCTGGTGCTGTACAGCGGCCTTCGGGCTTGATTTATACTGTCTTTAAATATAGGTGGCCCTGTCGGAACCAGCCATCTATTCTTGTTTTTTAAACATGTAGAGTGACTAACAAGAAACTATCAGATGAGCTGAGAAGACAGGATGAAAAAAGAACAATGAGAACCAATCCGTTCCCAAGCACCTTCCATTGGGAGGCTGCGATGTCCTTTACAGCCATGAATTTATAACCTCATAACGTGTCCGCAGCAGTGGAAGCTATCAGTTCAACTAAAAGGACAAGCTGACAGTTCCATAACTTGGTAGGTGGCTAAAGGAGGAAACGGCAGGCAGCCCACCCCTCAGGGTGAAGCGGAGCTCCTTGGCTGGAAGAAGGGACACTGGACACATCTCAAGGCCCAGGGTGTGTCTTCTATGACACTCAGGGTGAACAAAATAGCTTTCAGATCAACTCAGTTTCTAAAACTTCCATCATTGCTATTTGTGGATTTTCTGTGAGGGCTTTCTATTCAGGGAGGAGGGAAGAAAGCTCAATTTAACTTTCAGTTAGCAAATAGCGCCCTTCCCAAACCTTCATTCTCTTTCTTCACTCAATAAAGAAGGAAGAGAGAGAGAAAGACAGAGAGAGAGAGAGAGAGAGAGAGAGAGAGAGAGAGAGAGAGAGGAGAATTGGACTCCTGAACCAAAACCCAGTGAGATTTTTGCTAACACAAGGCAATTCTGATGCATGACACAGTTACTTTTACAAGAGAGCATCACACTAGGATACAATAAGATCATTGCATTCTGCCTCTGATTTAATAAATTTTTCTTTTTTTAATTTTTAGCCTAGTATTTCAATCCTTTCTATGACTATGTTTTATTCGCTTGCACATTGACAATGTTTGTCCTCTCTGCAAGCTGGAGATGATAATGAAGTAACTAACAGGCCGTAGTAGCGATAATTCTCAGTGGAACTCTCATAAAATACAGAAGTAACTGATAGAGAGTTTAATTTCTGAAATGGCAAATAAAATGTACTAGGTTTAAACTCAGAGATTATTACTACTTTCAGGCGGCTCTAAATTCTCAGGACTAAACCCATCCATTAAGCATATAATGCTTTATTAACCAGCTCCTCTGGAAAACTGTTAGGACATTCCAAATGCTTTCCGTTAACACAGAGTCTAGGACCACACAGGCAAGTCTGAGATGGTTTAT